TGTAATTGTTTAAAAGATTATATTATTATATATCTATATAAAAATATTAAATCGAACGATTTAATTGAAAAAAATATGTTTTGTACATAATTATTTATATATTATTAAGAATTCAAGAAAAGAATGATAAATACTATTTTTTTTATATGTCTAAAAATAGCTTTTAAAGTTATTTTGATTTTTCTCTTTCTAGGAAAGTTAATAAATCATATCGTGGAAGGTCTTGCCCGATAGTCGTGCATTGCAGGTATCTATATTTTTATATTTAAAATATCAGTGTAATGTTCAGTGTATCTTCATACTTAATCATTTCACAGTGATGGAGCTGGACGAACTGGTACTTACTGCTTGATCGACATGGTCCTAAACCGTATGACGAAGGGAGCGAAGGAAATTGATATCGCAGCTACTCTCGAGCATATTAGAGATCAAAGACCTGACATGGTTGCTACGAAACAACAGTTCGAGTTCGTCCTCATGGCAGTGGCGGAAGAGGTACATGCGATTCTCAAGGCTTTACCCGTATCGTCAAATGAGAAATCCGTTACGGCTACCGGTTCTTCGCCACCCACGAAATCGGAGCAGTAAAGCTAAAGTTACGACGCAAATTTAATCCTAAACGATATAAAATTCAGGCTTGACAACATCTTTCCCGAGGAAGAACGTTTCATATATAATTATATAAAATTATATATAATTATATATAAAATTGATATATTTTACATACAATTATACATAATTATATATAAAATATGTCCATATATAACATTTTTTTCTGGGTTATTAATAGATTTAGATTTAGAAAATTAGATTTTTTTATTTTTTTATGTTTGTTTACAAATTTTCTGTGTGTGTGTGTGTGAAAACTTAAGAAAATATTTTTTTCCAATGAAATATTTGATGTTCCGTTCTTCAAAATTTAGTTACAAGAGAAGTCCTAGATAACATTTATGTTGCATAAGATACTTAAAAGACTTTTTTTGGGTGTTTTATGTCTAAAAGATGTCTAAAAGATGTCTTTTAAATATCTTCTGCAACATGCATGTTATCTAGGATGTACGAGAAATTTTATTATATAATTACATGTCGGCTATTTTATACTGTTTAAGGTTAAAATAATTATAATAAAGACGCGAACGAGGATAAAAGGTATCTATTCTATTAATTTCGATGTTTCATGAAAAAGCTAAATACTTTTACTAGCTGTTTACTACGATGTACCCTACTGGAGTAAAAAGTGAATCAATCGATTGTTGGAATTTCGTTGAAATTTTCTACACGCTCGGTACTTCCCAATTGACCCGCACCTTCGCGTGATTAGTTTTAGAGTGCACCAATCATCGCGAGCTTCTTTCTTATTCCGATTGTATTTCCCCAAAATACGAAAAGAATGATAGTCGATTTAAACTTCTATAATGAGAATATATTGAAGAGAAGTATTAAGTTAAATACACTTTTAACACTTTTAATTTAAGAACAATATATAAAGAGAAGGAAAGTAAGAGCGATACATGTATATGTTAAAACAGTGTGAAATATTAACATGGTGCATCAATCTTAAATCTTTTCTTTTACTGATGTAAGATGGTACTGTTTTATTACATCGACTAATCGCGTAACGTCCTCTTCCGCTCATTCAAACGCGGCCTATTTCAAGGATCAAATATTTGTAGACAACAGAATGACAATTGGATACGTTAGGTGTTTCCTTGAGACATACACAATGTATCGTCAACTGAACGATTATTACACTGTACGATCGATCGATGAAACAACGGAAGATTTTATACTAATAGATTCAAGTCTAACTAGTACCTCGATTTTTATTATTAAACGCGGACGTTTAAGATTTTATTTATTGGAGATTTTATTTATTTAATACAAGAATTCAAGAATTATATTATTATTCAGTTCATTATTAATCATGGACTGACGATCAGACTGGCTGCATTTAGTATTAAATATGCGGTGTTAATACAGACCGAGATTTTTATTATCTAACGTGAACAAAATATATTGTTTTTCGTAGAAAGTCTATAAAATTATTATTTATATTAAAATCATCTATATAAATCATCTATATAAATTTTAAAACTTTATTAGAAATGCGTCACATACCGGTCAATTAAACTATAATTATTTAAATAATAAAAAGATAAGAAAAGGCCTATGAACGAGTAAGGTGTATATTATAATAATTAACTTGTAATATTACTAATACAACAAAAAGGGGTGGAACGTTTTGGCTTACTTAGCGATCTTCAGCCATCAGAGAATTAATTCATATAAATGCAAATCTTGTATAACATTAATCACATCTCGAAGCGCTAACATGAAGGATGTTCACGAGAAATCGAATACTATAAACATACTGCAAGCTCATTTTTTTAACTTTAACTCTTTCAAAATTAACGAATGTAATTAACTTCTCTCTCTCTCTCTCTCTCTCTCTCTCTCTCTCTCTCTCAAAATGACAATTTAATATTGGGTATCCATATGCAATTGACATCTTGGCTTTGCGACCTATTCCGTATTTTAACATTTGGCTCAACTCATGTCTACATGCAACGAGCATGTACAGTCTACATGGACTTGTATATGTACATACATACACTCGGGCCGTTGTAATCAACGTAAGAAGGAAATTATTGCTTATAAAATTGTGATATGCCTCGCGTAATTTGTGTTTAATAATTAATGTTATTCAAGATTTGCGTAATGAATTAATTCTTTATGATGGCTGAAAATGGCTAACCGAAAGTCCTATCTCTTTTTATTGTAATAATATTAAAAGTTATTATTAAATATACATCTTATTTGCTTGTTCATAGACTTTTTCTTATCTTTTTGTTTAAATACACATGAGCATTTTATTTCTTGTTTATAATTATTTCAACTTATTTATAATGTAAAACATATTTGCGAAATGTAACAAGACGTTCCTGTTATATTGTAAAACATTCAAAAAAAGACAAGATTTTTATGTACACTGAATTACGTTAACTCCTACGTGCCCTTCGATTAATGTGCTTTAAAATAGCTTTAAAATAGATGAATTTTTTAATCTCAAATTCAATAAATAATAATTAAAATCAGCGTAAACCAATCAGCTAAGTCAATTGCACGGTACCAAAATATACGTATATATGACAGAATATAGAATTTACATTAATAAAGTTGTATACATTTTCGAAATAGCCATTTTCTAATTAACTTCGTTATTTCTTTCATAAAAAATTAATATTCTGTATATTTATTTTATAAACAAATTGGATCATTCGTGAAAGTATATATCAAATATGAGATTATATACTATAGAATTATCAGATATATATTTTAAGTACGCGAATGATCGATCGGACAGCTACAACCTATTAAATCAACTCGCAGAAAAGAAGACAAAAAATCGCGTAAATTTGTATTACGAAATGATCTAGTCAATCATGAATCAACATTTTATTTTCAAGTATTATTACTGTAAAAAAATCGGTAATATGACTTGATGTTTTAAAGTATTATGTGTGCGTGTGATCGTTTTGCTGAGAAATTATATAGCTTGATGAATATGATTAAATGATGGAAATGGAGATTTACATACGTAAATGTATGTACGTTTAATATTATATCACTATTTTATTACTGTTCGGCGATTAAATTCGTATTAAAATTTTTTACGTTTATTATTTTCTATAAATATATGTATTTGTAACATCTATTTATTTATCGAGAAATATGAGCTTTTAGAAATGAAAAAATATTGAAAACGGAAGATACTAGAATTTTTATTTAAATATATTTTTGGGAGCTATGTCGAAATTGGTATTAGATAAAATCAGTGATAGGTTTAAGAATTAATGTTTCGCTAGCCTATAATTAATTGTTTAACAGCGTTACATGATGCAAATATTATTTTAGAGAGGATTTTGAAAAGCAGGAACACTAATGTACCTTAAAACTGTGTCAAACTTCGCTTGGTCACCGCAACTGAGTTTGATTAGCCTTCTTTAGCACCGACTGACTCACAAAACAAATTCTATATTTTTATGTAAAGGGATGACTTATATATATATAAATGATAATTATATAAATCTATACTATGTTACCCAATATATAATACTATATATATATATGTTGTAAAATAATAAATCGATCTATGTTCAAGCCATGAATATGTTTATATATTTCTTTTTGTTCATATTTTAACAAGTACATTTTATTGTAAACATTTTATATATTTAATATTTTTATATTAAGATTTTTATTTTAAGAAATAGAATTATGATATTTTTTCTATTTATCGATCATTAATGTTTAGGATATATAATTATGTACAAATGAATATGTAGACGAAATTCTATTCTGGAATCGTTAATCTTTTATAGGGCCACTTCGACCAACTCCGATTTAATCAATGATTAGTTGGAATTGGCCAATTGCATCAATGACAGGTTGAAGTACCTCATAGTCTTTTTCTTATTCGAATGTGTGTAACACATGTAGAATAGAAATAATCATAACAAACCCAATTAACTTAAAATGAAAATAATGAAAGATTGTGCACGCTATATTATTATAATAATAAACTTCTACCTCAAGTCATGTTAAAATCTTGAGAAATTAGATTTAAATGACAAAACATACTTCAATTTTCTTGTTGATAAATGCATGACAACGTCTCAGGAAATTCTGGATCCCAAAAACCTTAAAAAAGATTATATTTTATCATAATATCTAATAAAAAAGGTAAGGAAATAAAATTTTATACCTTCTGGTGTACTTGGCCTCTCGTACTTGTGTCGATGTCGTGAGCATTGGTTCAATCGTTTTTTTAATTCTTCTTTTGACAGTGATAAATTCTGATAATACTGAAAATCAAATAATATGAATTATTTTTCTACAGAAAAAGTATTGCTTTTTGTAATATACATTTTAATATTGTAACTATACATATTAATATTATGCATTACTTTTCTGCATTCCCAGCAATCCAAACCATTTAATTTTTCTCTATCAGCTTTACATCGCATGTTGAGCTGTTCTGAAACATCTGCCTTTCTTTTTGGAAATCTGTAAATAATATTTTCATTAGATACATATATAAAAGCAACTTACACAATTATTAACTAACAATAAATACAAATAAAAATTAACTAACAATTAATACCTACACATTAAATTTATTCAACATCTTTTTTTCAGGTGGCTTGTTTTCTGAATCATCCGAACGTATTTCGTCCTTTAAATTATCCATGTCATTTTTCTTTGTAGTTACTGGTACATCAAAAAATTCATCTTCGTAGGCAAAGTCTTTATTAAGATTCTGTATTAATAATAGATCTTCCTTTTGAGCTTCAATAGATTTTTTAATTTGAACATTGGTTTTATTATCTATTTTTATTGGTGAAAGATAATGTGTGCTAACTTTATCTTTCGCTGTATTAACTGTAGTATTCATTAAGGATTTATCATCATCTATTTGTGTAGAAGTATATTTCGGCGAAGGACATAACCCAAAATCTACATTTATTATCTCTGGAACAACACTAGGATCAGGTCTATGATTAAGATATTTATTTTTATTCGGAGAATTTTTTATTATAAGTCTTGCAAGATTTTTCCTCTTCAATTTTAAACGTCGCTTAACTTTAGATGTAATATTTCTCTGTGTAGGACTGACTTCTATCACATCCTCAGAAATTTCAGTACTGTTATTTGTAGCACTTTTTTCAGTACTTGCAGTAATACTTGTATTTTTAGTAGAAATTTCTTTAGCATTTACTATAGAATTTTCTTCAGTAAAACTCTGTTCGACATTATACAATCTACTAGCTGGCTTATGTTTATGTATACTTGAGGCTAATATAGTATTTTCGTTACTTTTGACTGGATGAAATGCAAGTCGAGATTGCTTCAATCTTTTTCCATCTGGTAAAAATGTGGTTTCCACATGATGTGTTGTACTAATTTCTAATTTGTGATCATACTTTGAAGAAACTTTTTCACCATGATGTGTCTTCATATCTGAAGTTGAGTCACTGCATAACATTTTAGATAAACGCAATTTCTTTGCAGATTTAGCGCCAGTTTTTGCACATATTTTAGAAAATATTGGACTTTCTGGCCGATTATTTTCGTTGGTATCTTTGTGCAAAAATTCACTTGTATCTGACAGACTCGGTTTTGTATCGGAATTAAGATCAATCGAATTTGTAACTAATCTCAATAATGGAATATAAGATGGAGTACTATTATTTTCTTGTCCATCAGCGTTATTCGACTGTTGCGACTGTTGCGAAGTTGCTTCATTTTTTATTTTTGTATCAATCGTCACTTGAGACGAAGAATGCAGTCTACAAAATAATATGTTTATACGTATATATTATACAACATATGATATATGTATATGATACACAACATGCACATACTTTTATACACATTAGTAAAATATTATTAGAACTTATTAAGTTATATATTATATATATAAGTTATAAATAATTTTGACTTAGAATCTAAATTATATAAATGTGAATTATATAAATAAACAATAATTGTAAACTCACGCATTACACTGTTTATACTTTTCCTGCAATTTTATATAATTTTCCCACAAATCTGTAAGACAAAATATTACAACAATGATACAAATCGCTTATATAAACAATTCAGTACATAAATAGTTTTTAAATATTTAACTAGCGGCATGACTTAATTTAGAAAATTGTTTTCAAAAAGCATTAATGCATATCGTAATGTTTAAATTTTGACGCGTTTTCCAATGCTTGGTCTAGTGATTTAGTAAATTTTGTATAATTGAATAATCGTTCAAAAATTTACTAGCAGTACTTATTACAAGATTCAGATTAGATCTGTCGCGTTGCTTGCACTTTTAGCACTCGACATCTTCGCTTTCTTTCTTTTCAAGGCAAAATATATATCCATCTCATTTTAAGTGCAAAAATATTTGAGGATTTCGCGACAATCTATTGACTGCAGATAGCAGCATAAATCAAATTTAATATTTTCGCGTGTTTCATAGATCTGTTCATGAAATCCTCAAATATTTTTGCACTTAAAATGAGATGGATATATATTTGGTCTTGAAAAGAGAAAGCGAAGATGCCGAGTGCAAAAAGTGCACATAACGTGACAACCTCAGGTGATTTGTGATGTGTTCACACAGCTTAAAATCCCTAAAAATTTTTGTACTTAAAAAGAGATAAATATATATTCGGGCATTGAAAAGAAAGAAAGCGAATATATTGGGTTTGTTCGCATTGCTTACACTTGTTGCATTCAGCATCTTAGCGCTTTCTCTCTCTCTTTAACACCATAAAAATAAGATACAATGAGATAGCTGATAGATAATGCATAAGATAATAGAATGAGATATCCATGTATCTCATAGATGCGATCAAGGATCGAGACGCTATTAATTTTGTCATTCTATCTTCATCGTTAATTAAACGTAAAACAAAAATAGAATGACACATATAGCGCTAATAACGTTTCTCCGACGCACTTTATATATATATATATATATCTTATGACTTAAGCGTTTATCTCATTCTATCTTAAACACTATACTGAACATGGCAGGCCAATCAGAACTGACTAAATGTGATCTGACTAAATAACCAATCTTAATCTTACTTGAGTATTTCTATATGAAAGTTTTCCAAAGTATTTATAACTCTAAATTGATCAATTCTATGATTCCAAAAATACATAAATTCGTGTGAAATGTGAGTAGTAAATATTATAAATGTTATTTTTCAAATATTTTAACATTCCTTTAATATTTAATAGAAAAAGAATATTAATTAGATATAAACGACAGTAAGAATATATACCTACTTTGATAATGTTCAAATGCTTTTTGTAAGATTTCAACGTAGCTCTCCATTGCTTTTCTCGCAGTCTCGTTCTGCGTCAGACAATTAAACTGCAGAATTATTGACATTATTGTTTGAAGTACACTTCGATCTTTTCGGAGCAACACGTGTATCTGATGTATCTTCCCTGTTTTCTCAATGAATGCTTAAATTGTTCTCAAAAAATCGTAAGTGCGTAAACGCGACTGTCTTCACAATGTATCTTTACTGATTAGTTATACAATTTTCTTTAATATTTATTTATACCGATCATCAACATTCCGACACATTCCAACACATTCCAACTCACTCCGCCATAACAGTTTATTTTACCGTTACGTATGTGTGTACGTATGTATGTACATATGTATGTATATGATGACATGTATCAGATGTGTCATATATGTACAGTCAGCAACAGAAAGATTGCAACACATTTTTAAAATCAATTTCGGAATACCTATTCACTGAGCGATTGATTCTTATTTATGGATCCATAAGTAATAATCGATGAGCAGGTTGCATTCTGAAACTCATTGAAAAGTGTTACAAATACAAACTCAGGAGTTCAGGACCGTCTAGTGGACACCATAGATATAATTCCGACTGATTTTTGAAATTTTACAGAAAGAAAAATAAAAAATATATCTGAG